TTTTTTAATTTCGCTTAACAAGGATTTCGCTTTACATTTCGCTGGAACGGATTATCCTCGTTAAGTGAGGCACCACTGTATTCTGATTAGCTGGCTAACTAACTGTGGGCTGGCTAGAGGAACTGTCAGGTGGATGCATGGTTACAGAACCATAGCCAGTGCATACTTAATTGATATCTCCTCCAACTTGAAAGATAAGTGGGTTATGAGAAGGCTCAGTTCTGGGTCCTGTGCTCTTCAGCATTTTTAACAATGACCTTGATGAGGGGTTGTAGACAATGCTCTGTTCCACATGAAACTGACAGCCATAAAACTCAGTGTCATTACATGTTGAAAGCCTGAGGTCTTCATGTTTCCAGTGAAAGGCGCTCAAAGAGAAACTCAACAAGGTGGGACAGTGCACCTTCCTCTGTGCAAGTCGAACAACCTGCTCTGAATGATACCAGCTTGTCTATGTCAAACTGCCTCTGTTTGATAAGCACAGTTGCCTTGTCTAATCCCATTGTAAGGAGGGACTGAGGAGAGTATGTATTTGCATGATCTTTGAACTAAAGGATTCTTTTCTAGGGCTTGGTTCTTCCATTGAAGAAGGTGAAGAGGCCCTGAAAGAGGGAAAAACATGCATACAGGAGAGTGGTCCTGCTGGGCAAGCTAGCTGACTTGATTGCAGTCTTGGTAAAAGCAGGAATCTGCTCAGACCAATAACGCCCTTATACTTTTGAAAGAAAAGTCACGGACTACAGATCCAGTGACCATGCTGGCTGGGAAGGGGTTATGGAAGATGCAATCCAAAGAGTAACTTAACTTTTCCAAACTTGATATAAACAAATAATAACCCAAGGACATGAGCCCAAAATAAGCTCTAGGTCACTCCAAATGGCAAGACTCAAAACAAGATCTTTCCATTTATATCTTTCACTGGCCTGGCTGCTCGGATCATTTCCATTTTTTTGCTGTTTCACCCAGAGAATAAGATAAGCTTTTTAACATGTGAGAGTTATCCAGATAAGTCCTTGAAGAGCGAGTTTAAACATATTTTTTTAAAAAAGTTTGAACTGAAGCATCATTCCATGGTATATGGAATATTAACAAAAAGGTCCTGAGAGGAAATCAAACATTACCATTAGAATGTAATTAAAAGCAAGTTCCTGTAAGTGGGAAATGCTTTTTAAAATCCTAATACGTACGAGTCTTCCTCCTGTACATCTTAAAAATTAGCTAGCTGTTGTTTATATAATTTGTTAACAAGGAGATAAACATGAACTTCATTTGCAAGCCTGATCAGACAGCTTTTTTTTTAATCCATCACTGGAGAAACCATATTTCATCACCTTCTATTTACAAAGTCAGCAAGTCATCTGGTTTGACACAATTTATGATTTCAGCCCTTTTGTCCTTGCAACCTACATGCTTTTGCCTTTCAATGTGGTAAGCCACCTTGGGCCTTTTTTCAAGGAATGAAGCAGGATAAAAATACCATGTTTCCCGAAAAATAAGACAGGGTCTTATATTAATTTCTGCTCCAAAAGATGCATTAGGGCTTACTTTCAGGGGGTGTTTTTTTCTCTTTTTTTCATGTACAACCATCTACATTTATTCAAATACAGTCGTGTCATCTTCTGGTTGCTGCACAATGGTGAAGGGTGGGGTTTCACTTAAATACGGCTTATTTTTGGGGTAGGGTTTATATTATGAGCATCCTGAAAAATCATGTTGTTGTTTAGTCATTAAGTCGTGTCCGACTCTTCATGACCCCATGGACCAGAGCATGCCAGGCCCTCTTGTCTTCCACTACCTCCCGGAGTCTGGTCAAATTCATGTTAGTAGCTTTGATGACACTGTCCATCCATCTTGTCCCCTGTCGTCCCCTTCTCTTCTTGCCTTCACACTTTCCCAACATCAGTTTGACCACATCCAGCTTACCAATGTTCATAGATCTTACAATCCAGGTTCCTATGAAGTATTTTTCTTTGCAGCATCAGACTTTCCTTTCACTTCCAGGCGCGTTTGCAGCTGAGCATCCTTTCGGCTTGGGCCCAACCACTTCATTAGCTCTGGGGCTACTCGTACTTGTCCTCTGCTCTTCCTCAGTTGCCCGTCGGCCGCCTTCCGACCTAAGGGGCCCATCTTCCAGCCTCGTATCTTTTAGCCTTTTGTTTCTGTTCATGGGGTGTCCTTGACAAAGAGTGGCTTGCCAATTCCTGCTCCAGGTGGAAATAAATAAAGACAGGTGTCTTTGAATTAGGAGACCATACCCAAGCTGTAGCACCAGCACAGAGAAGGCCCAGGTTTTGGGGTATGTGTGTGACAGCTCCATCTCTACTGTTCAAATGCACTTGGCCATGGGCATATGTGCAGGTCCCAGGGCCTCCCTCTCTCTCCCACGTCAGCGTTAGCTAATTAATTAATTAATTAATTAAACAATTGATTAAGGACATCCTTTCCGCCTGGACCATTGAGGGCAGTCTTGCTCAGCCTCTTACACCTGCTCCCGGTCTCTCTTTAATTTCTTTCACACACACCCCTTCCACGTATGCCAACTACTACAGCATCTCAGCATCTCGGGGTCCGGAGACTCTCCAGGCAGTCGCGTCTCGGCCGCCTCGCTTTCTTTTCTTTTTCTTTGCGCGAGTTCTTTGGCATCATCCTACCCCGCGCCCAAATGGATGTGTTTTTTTTGGGGGGGGGGGAAGCTGCTTCTCTTGTTCCCACTCCCGGGAAGGGAAAAATAAAATAAAATAAATCAAAAATATTCCCAACATGAATCCTGTTCCAACGACCCACAGGCACGGGGAGGCCCCACGGCACCTCTTCACCATCGGACCCCCCAGTACCCCCTCCCACAACAACAACAACACTCCCCACCCCATGCAGCCCGTCTGTGCATGTTGGATCCTCTCTAGAAAGAAGCACCTGCTCTCTCTCTCTCTCTCTCTCCCCCCCCCCCGCCGGCATCATCTTTCTCCCGGAATTAACGGTATTGTGCTCACCTCTGGATAAGAAAGCAGAGCAAGGCAGGCACCCCCGACCCACCCGGCAGCGCGTCGCTTCCACGCTCGAACCGAAGGCAAGCCCTCCCCCCTCCCCATCATCTTCCAAGCAGGGCACGGACCAAGCGCGCCCCGCTGCTCACCTCGCTCCGACCCTCCGGTCCCGATGGGGGGGGGCAGCCCAAGGAGCGGGGGGGGGAAGAGAGAGAGAGAGAAGAGAGAGGAATCGAGAGAGCATCGGGGGGGTTTTTATCCTTTCAGAAACACAAAACTTGAG